TGTTTGGCAACCTCTGCTGATGATTCATTTGCCTGTTTCAGCCATGTCTTTCTGAAAATCTATCTCTTCAATGCAGCGCAATATAATTTTGAGTTTGTAAGGAATGGTAACCCAGCTTCTATTATATTTTAAAAGAAGAAAACAAAAACAAATATTTTTTTAAATGCATTCTGTTGGAAATCACACTTCCTCACCAAGATGACACAGAAAATTACCTGAAAAAGTCTTTTCAAGTCTATAAATAGTGTGCACACTGAGGAAAGAAAGGAAATCAGAAAAAGACCATCCCCAAAATACACAATTGGGTATTGGCAGTGGAACAGAAAAAAAATGTTATTGTTAAATAATTGAGTTTAACACCAACAATTGAAAATACCAGCTACAGAGAGGTAATAATGTGGGCCCAAATCCCTACAGAAAAAACAGAGTACTTGATTTTGGGGTTTCTTCTTCTTTGGATGTAAATTGGTTTGTGGCTCAAAAGAGATAGCTGGGTAAAGAATAGTAGAGTGAATAGTAGTTTTACTCTCTAACAGTTTCATTATGCTCTTATGAAAAATAGGAAACATTTTCATAGCTACCCTATGAAACAGAGCAGCACAGAGAAAATTAATTTTTAAACTCATTTTTCCTGCTTCACAGAAATACAGAAGAATGTCTAGTGGTAATTTGACTAAAACTGAAACTCTTACCCCCTTGTTTCCTTTTAGCATGTAAGCAAGTCCTTAGTATACATTACTTTTTAACACAAGCTTCTTGGGATTTATTATTTTCTAATGAAATGTCCTGGATTCCATATGCACACCTTACTAGGTTTTTCTCTCTTTGTATTTTTTTTTTTGTATCTCTCTGTATTTTTTTTCTGCTGAAGTTGTCCAGAGGGTACAACTCAACAACAGGCTTAAAGAGTCTACAGTGGGTAGGTGAAAGGCACCTTCTCTTCATTGAAAGAAGAAAGGCTTTTTCTTTTTCTTATCAATGAGTTATTAAATGGGTTTCTAAATCTTTAATTTTCTGCTATTTTTGCATCTACTGGGATGGAAGACACTCAGATGGAAGAAGATGGAAGAAAAATAAATTTTTTCATCCAGAAAGGTGGCTGGGAATACAGCTTACTGGCCCAGATATTTTCCTTTAGCACAGCATGTTTTTCAGTGCAGTAGCATCTGTATCCCGTTCAGCCAATGTCCTCAGCATGTTGCTTATCAGTTCTCTGCAGATTCACCCACCAATGTACTTGTAAATAGTACTGGCAGGTTGTGAGATACATTAATGGCTCTTGGAGTTAGGTGACTAAATTGGAAATATAAAATTCTTACCTGTTAACTCAGGGGAAAGAAAACCAGAACAAGAGGTCTCCAGCAAAACAGACAGCTTTTGTTAGACCTAAAGATATTGGACATTTCTAAGTGTAATTTCTGCATAGATACTTTAGGATGTGTCTGAATTTCTTCTTGCCTCTGACTACAGAAATTAAAGGCTGCTATATGTATTTTAAACCTTGCTTGCAGAAAAATGTATTTTATCAACCCATCAATGTTTGGAACCAGGTAAAAATTCTCTCAGTGTCAAGGAATAACAGTGAGAGGCATCTGTACTGAAGGAGAGGTGAATGCCACTCAACTAGCTACTATGAATGGATAAATCAAATGGCCCTGTGTCTGCAGATATTATTTTTATATGATATAAATTATATTTATATTTATATTACATAATATATATTATTATATAGCTTAAAGTGGTTGATACATACTCAGATTTTCTGCTGTGTTCTTCTTTTTAGCCCAGGCTCCAGTCAGACTGTTTATTTGGGGTTGGTTCTGTATTCTCACTGATAGCTTCACACAGTAGGATTAACCTCAATTATCATATTTTTCTTTGGTTCTGTCATAAAGTCTAGTTAATTCTCAGACATGGCCCCAAAATGATAATTCTAGTGGGAGTCTGAGCAATCTTTCAATTTCCATCTTTTTTTTTCCCATTTGTCTTCTTTATTTTACTACTTGAATTATGCCAGACCTCTTGAAAATAATAATAAAGCAATGGTTGACGTGGAAAGACAGCCTTTTTATTCCAATGTAACTAATTTACATAGTTCCATTTTATTTTTAATACAGCAACACTTCATTCTTCTGATGGGCTTATTTTTCTGATGCATGCAGAGAAGAGAGTAGAAAAAGAAATTGGAAGTTTAAGGTTATATGTGGTCCAATGTCTGAAAAGTACTTTTTAAAATTTTCCTGTGGTGATAAGCTGTTCAGTGTTGCAATTTTTATGATTACTTTTTATTAAGCTGGGAGTTCACTGATCATGGGTTTAGTTTGAGACGTTGTTTGTTCCTTCTCCTAACTCTTTTGTTTAGTATGTTCAGTCCCCAGCCTGCAGACTGCCTCTCCTGAGGCCTTAAAGACAGAGAAGGACACTTTGCTATTTAATGCTACCTCCAGAGCTGTCATCTGTGGCATGGGAAGCACATCATGACTATGTACATCAGAGGGTCTGATCTCATCAGCTCACATACTGATTGTGTTTTGAGATGAGACATACATAAAAATGTGTATTTCAATTCACGTGACCTGTGGGCAGACTGCCTGCATTGCACAGAAAGCTTAATTTCCAAGGAAATAGAAAATAGCTTCGTATCAAAGAAATAGAAAGAAAAAATGGAAAATTATCATAAAACGTGTCTTTGCAAGAAGGTGATTGAACCCTGAAACAGACTCCTAGAGAGCTGGTTGATGCTCCATGCTTGTCAGTGTTTAAGAGACATTTGGACAATGCCCTTAATACTGTGCTTTAACTTTTGGCCAACCCTGGTCAAGCACTTGGACTAGATGATTGTTAAGGTTATCTTCCAACTGAAATAATCTATTCTGTTACTATACTATTACTTTTTGTCCTAGCTTAGGGCAAATTCTGGGAGGAAATCTCCTAATGGCATCCCTCCAGAAAGCAAATTCAAGCAACCCTTCCCCCAGCTGGTTTGGGAAAATATTTCCTTGGAGAAAGTGGAAAAACATGTTTTTTTAACAAGCAAAGTATTCACAAGCATTAAAAAAATTATAATATTAAACAATAAAACCTCTCACTGTTTGAAGAGATGGCAAATTCAGAAATTCCTTGTTGTGGGATGCAGCATCCCAGCCCTGGTGGGATCCACATGAGAACTCCCGGTGTTTTTCTGGGTTTTCAGTCCAGAGCAGGTTTGAACAGTTCCAAGAAAAAGAAAAAAAGCAGTCAGGGAACTTCTCTACCTCAGCTGGCTAAAAACTAAGTAACAGCAAAGGAGAGCTCTGTCCTGCTGGAGACAGCACAGCCCAGGAGCAGAAGGCAGAGGCGTGAGTGCTGTTTCTGGAAACAAAATGCAGCTTATTCTTCCCTTCCTTTGCTCCCTGCATCAGTCTGAAAGGTGCAAAACTCAATATCCAGTATAAACAGAGCAGACAATTGGGGATACAAGCATCATAAAGTCACCCCAGGACATTATTCTAATTCTAGCCTATTCGATTCCATTCATGAAGTTGTGGTATTTGGATAGATATCAAGTAGTTTGCCAGAAACATCTGTATATTCCAGAGAGAGAGAGAGAGAGAAAACACTTCATTGAAGTATCATATATGCTTTGTATTGAGAGCACTTTGAAGGATCAAGTTAAGTTTAATTTGGAAATAGTGTACTTTAGGTGAGGGTGTTGCCTCAGCTAAACAAGTAATGCCTGACATTAGTTGTTTTGGTCATCACCTAACTCAACTGATTAACTGAGCTAAGCCAGTTTCCTATTACTTTATTCAGTTTGCTTTGCAGCTTCTAAAATGCTGTACTACTGTCACTGATGCCAAAGTCTCTGAAATTCCTGGAGCTCTGGGATCAAATGCAGGTAGAATAGGTGCTAAAGGAGGGTTGCACTGGATTTCCTGGGAAATCGTCTGCAGCACTTTTCAGCTGTCACCCCAATGCTTATCAGTAAAGTTCTGCCTTGTCCTTCTGACCTTGTATGTCTCCTTGTTCTGTGCTGGTAGACAGCTCTTGGTGCCCTGATGTGTACTCTATATCAGATGCTGCTGCAGTTCAGTGCTGTATGAGTAGGAATCTAGGAACATGGAAACAAGAGATGTTGCTCAATATGAATGTAAAAAATGCTTATGTAATTCCTAATTAAAGGTGTCACTTATTCTACATAAAAAGGAATTGAGGCAGTCCATACTGACAAAAGAAGAAACAGGTAACAAGTGTTTAGATCAAAATTATGACATAGTTTTCATGAGTAAAGGAAAGGCACAAGTAAAAAGATGCAATCTCTCTTGCTTCATATGAAACAGAAGTTCAAAATAAGCTATTGCTATGGCAACAAAAGGAGCAAGGGGATTTACAGTTCTGTATGTTTCAGTGCAGTCTTAACCAAGAGTGAATCTGGCTAGAAAGAACAGCTGCACATATATTAATTATTATTTATGAACTGTGTATCTCACCTTACTGCCTCAGAGCCTATAACTTAGAGTGATAGGTCATTGACCATACCTTGCTGAAGACATTTCTGGACCTTATGTGTGAAGCATAATTCTTGGATTATTTATCAAGCTCTGTCTTATAGAGAATCAGAAGGTTGAACAGGTTTCTAATATCACTTGAAAATATTTATTCTATGCCATATGCCATCAGTTAGGTCCACACTCATAATACACCTAAATCTTCCTCGTAATCTCTTGGGAACACTATGTCTAATGTCACTCTAATACAGGAACATTCCATCATCTCTAATTTCACCCTGTAAGTCTCAATGAACTCCTTTTTTCCATATGAAGATTAAGACAATTTCTGCCTTACCAAATTTTATGTCACAAAATAAACTGCATGTTAATCCTATTTAATAAAGTTCTCATAAAGCAAATAAAGTAAGATTGTCTCATAGATATCAGGACATTCTAAGATTCCTGATTTTATTTATTTTCTTTTTATAATTACAGTACTTTCAATAATTGTATTGTTTATTAAAATTGCAGATCACAGTTTTTCGAATGGGATCAGAAGGACACCAGGATATTGATTTAGCTATCCTGACAGCGCTACTAAAAGGTAACAGAGTTAAACTCCACAGTGTTATTGACATCTCTATCAAAATGATACATCTGTACTGTGAAACTGAAGTATGCTTCTTGCTCTGCTTTATACAAATCCAGCTCTTTCTTTAATGTTTAAACAGCTACTGTTTTCCCTTTCTGAATTTTTGTTCTATGCAATCACTGACGTGCCACAAGAAGTACCAGTGGTGACCCCCACACCAGTTACTTGTGAAGTTTAGTATTCACAAGAAGATAGCCAAAGAACTCCTCAGACTTAGATTACCTTGGTAGCTAGAACATCCATTTAGATAAAGCTGGCTCTACTGTCAAAGTAAGGTGTTATCTGTAGTCATTGCTAGGAAATTCTGGAAGTAGTGTGAGGTTCCTTTCAGCCTCCACTTGTAGAGTTAAGAACATAGCTATTGGGATGGTTGAGCTTTTAATCTTAAACTTGGCAGGTTGTTACATCTTTCTAAGCCATTACATGTTACAGTTCTGCTCTTGAAAGGTTAGATGGAAATAATTTGCTGTTGCTACAGTTCATGATAGACCCTGGTCTATATTAATAAATAAATTAATTCAAAACAAGGATCAAGAATCTCATCCATCACCAAACTTTTTCTTTTTGTCCCTTGGAAATGATATAATTGCAGCTTTCATTTTTATCTTCAATGTAACTGAATTTCTTCATTATCCTCAATGTGAAGGTATTTTCTTCCCATTTGCTCTTAAGACAGTTCCTGAAAATACTGCTCTTTTTTTTTATTAATAAGGCAAAGAATGTCTTGAGTTGTGATTCCAGTTTTTCTAGATGTGTTTTGAAGGTCTGTATCTCAACATAGATCTCTGGAGTCTTCTGAATACTGACTCTTGGAAGCTGAAAAAAATAAATCACCAGCCTGCGAGAGATTGTTTTCTATTTCAAATGTTCTTTTGCAGTATTTACGTGACCAACTGTTCTAGTGGCTGCCATCTCAGTATATGAGCAGTCCTCCCTGCTCTGGAATATCCGTTTTGCAAGTGCCTAATTGGCACTATTGGCCCCTTAGTAAAATAAAATTTCCTTTCCTCTTCATGTTATGGCTGCAAGTCATCATAAGAAACTTTTGTTAGACCAAGAGGTGTCTGGATCTGTGTCAGTACTTTTGACATCTCCTTTCATGCTTTTCTGAGAATCTTGAAAAGCTGCTGATGGCAGCAGAACTTGTTTCTTGCTCAAGAAGTAGCCAGAGAAGCTAAGACTTATAACTCATCTTCCTTGCTCCTCCACATTTCCTGATTATGAAAGTATTCAATGAAGATCAGGTTCATCAGGCTCCTCTGGTTCATGCAAGCCTCCTGATCACAAGGTGTTTAATTAATATGTGCAAAGATGAGATCTGTTGTCTCAGCTAAGTCAGTTGTCCTTATTCACACCATGTCTTTGTACACATGTTCTCACCCACCTTGAAAGAAATACCAACTTTCTGTAAATACATCTCACTAGCCTGATGTATACTTGATGGTTTTTCATCAAAGTCTAAGGTAGCAATGCTGAACCACTTGTTTATTGATTTCTAATAAGTAATTTGTCTGTAATAGGTAAAATAAATAAAAATTATTTTTTCATGCTGTTGGAATTTTCATGGCATTGGAGTTTTCATGGCATTGGAAACTTGCTTCCCACAGCCTCTTGTCTCTAAAATTAAAGAAAAATAATAATACTAATAAATAAAATAAGTAAGGATATTTAAAGACTGGGTCTGAGTTATCTTGAAAGTCATAAATTTAGATTTAAGAATTCATCTCTTCCTACTCTCCAGTACTGTGTGCAAAAGGGGGCAGAGCAATGAATGAGACTGGTGAGTGATTACCAGGAACTTTTTCTCAGTCTTCCTGATGAGGAATTTGCAGCTTTTGATAGTAAAAGAGAAGCATATCAGCTTCACCCTTGTGTGAGTGATTTGGTCAGGGAGGAGGGGAACAAGGGTTTGGAAACACAAAGTATTGCTACCTATCTGTTGTGTAAAATTTGTGATGAACTAATCTCTTTAAAAACCCAAACCAGACTCACTGCCAATTCAGGAGCTTGCCTGGACAGCATATTCCACAAGCCCCAAAACCAGCACCACATATTATTTCTTTGTTTGTTTTCACAAATCACTTGTTTAATCTTGTCAGCAAGATCTATCTTTCTTGGAAGTGATCTTCAATAGACTACAGAATGGCATCCAAACTGGTTATCAATTTACATTGCATGGATGTCACAACAGCATATGGTTTGCAAATTCTTTTTTTTTTTTAATGTTGAGAGACACAAATGTGGGAAGTAAGTTTCCAAAGGCATGAGTTTATAGCAGGCAAGTTTATCAATACAGTTTAACTGTTTGTGCTCTCTTAACTCGAACAGTTGGACCTCACACCATAATGGATTTTGTCCTTTTGCAGCTGCTAGCGAAGCAGAAGGCATATGACAGGGAAGTTAAAGAGAGCATATGGAGATGCTCTAAAAAAATACTTGTTTTGAAGTGGCTTCAAAGATCCTAGTTCACGAAGCTGTTGCAATGTCTGGAGCAGACTAGCACCAGCCATGTTTCAGATGGTGCTCCAGAAGCCTTCCCAGTGCAATTGTTAGCACTGGGAAAGAGGTGCTGTGTGGTACATGCATACAGTGAAATTACTGCCAGGTACCCTCTGAGATAAACTATGTCAGGCTGAAGGAGAGATGAAGTTTCTACATTCTTTCCAGCTTGTGAGTAAGTCATGATTCATGCTCACTGAATAGCCATCATGTAGTATCAGATGGTCAAGGATACTCTGCCATGAAATCACAGACATGGAAATTTTCAGAGTTAGGTCAGCTGTCTGGTTACTGCAGTTGTAGCTGTTTTTGCTGTCTGCTTTTATATTGTCAATTGTTTTCCTAATTGCCAAGATGATTCTGTAGCAAATGCTGTGAAAACACAGCCATTGCACCAGAGAGCTGCTGAGCATCAGACCTGCAGAGACACAAAGAGAAAAGTTAATTTGGGTTGCTATTTTCCCTAATCTAGTCCCAGTTCTTCTCCTCAAAGAGGACACTGACATGCTTAGGTGCACTGTGGAAATGGGTATCCCACAATTATTTCTGTCTAGGGAGATGTTTCATGTCATTTCATCTTTCCAAATACCTGAGCACCAAGATCATAAGTTGTTCCAGGAGAATCCTTTAGGGGTTTATATTGGTCACGGTAAGCTTTAGCCAGTATGTAAAAGCCTATAGTAATAAGAATGTAATAGCTCTTCAGTAATCCTGCAAATACACAACACTCATTGTCTATGTGTGCCCTGGCTCACCAAGGAGACAGCATTGAGTTTATAGTGCCAGGCTTTATCATCAAAGGGTATTACTGTTTTGGTCTAAAATATTGAGTAGACAATGCGATTTTCTACCAGAAGAGTCTATGCAAGATATGCAAGAGTCTGTGCAGGCACTCTTAGATGGTAGCCTAAGCACATAAAATTAACATCTGCAGGAACTAACAGCTGTCCCAGCAATCTATCTATATCCAGTGGTATCTATACCAAGATAAAATACAATATATTGCATCCCAACTGCAACTTTTCTTCTAGGAGCAGATGAAAGGAAGGGTCACACTGTAGATGCTCTCATAGTCTCAGAATTCTTCTGAGGGACATATCTTACATCAGCCAGACACCAGAATACTGAGTAAATATTACAGAGACATTAGTCATATTATGTAAAACATTATTTAACACAATAAGTATGATATGATAATTAAAATAACACAATGCAATGGGTTATTAACTCTACCTTTGGATTTGATTTGGGCACATTACAGTCACAGTCATCAGTGACAGGCATTCCCAGAAAGGTCACTTTTTGGATTCTTCCTACTAATTCAAGTCCATGCTCTATGACACTGAATGCAGTGAAGGAAATGATTGAAAGGATCTTAAGAGGCCATCTCATGTTTTTTTCCGAGGAGTTTTTCTTATATAAGTGGAATCATTCATACTTCTTAATAGGGGGTAGAATTCCACCTGAAATAGCTTGAATACTTCCTTTTTCCTGTGAGGCAAAGGCCATCACTTCTATCCTAGAATAAAATTAATTAAAAGGCATCCACAGCCCATATGCTGCTCTGTACAAACATTTATAGCTTGGATTTTCCTTCTCCTCTTAAGTAATATCAGTGTTATCCACATTCATCTGAAAACCTCTTGGGGAAGATGTGAAAAAGGAGACAGAAGTAAGGGCTTTCCAGCAAGAAACTGTACTGCGGAAGCACCCATCAACAACATCAAATGTACCAGGACCCCAGGAGGCACACCCATACTGCCCAATTCCACACCCTAGATGCACCCACTCTGCTTCAGACCTAGAGTACAGCATCCCCTTGAGAAAACACACATTTCTTTCGACTACCAGACACCTGCATTGCTCTGTGAGACAATCAAATCAGTTATGGCAACAAGCACTGAGAAGAGCATCAACTCTGGGACTGCACATGTACCAACAGGAAAACTTGGCCACGGCTGGCAGCCTTAAGCACAATGAAGGAAGATGGGGAGGAGGCAGGCTGGACCATGGCTTGCTTTCCCCTCTGCTCAGTATTTAGAGCAACGAGCATGCTCAAAAAAAAACAATTTTGGTGAATGGATGAGCAGTCACCACCTCATGCTCCATGCCTGCTGTTCTTTCCATCGTCAAATGCACCTGAAGACCCTCTATTCATCTGCCAGCTGAATCTTTTCTAGGGCATGAAAAGGCCCAAGACTGCTAAGGTCAGTTAATACCGAAGAACACTCCCTGCTAGGGGTCAGAAGTTATTTACGTGGAGCCTCGGTGATTTAGCTTGACTTCCGCCCAAAGCTGTAAATTGCACTGTAAATTGCCCACTTCCCTCCCCAAGTCCATCTGATCCACTCTTGATCCATAATTATTTCTAACTAGATGGCTTCCCTGGCTACCCATACTGTAGGCTGCAGTAGGAAAATCAGGATATGGAGCTCCCTCCATCACTCCATCACATGTGTGAAGTGTTGTCACGCTGTGGGATCACCAATTACCATCACTGACCCCAGATTTTAGAGTTCACCCATGTGTCTCCTCCATGGCTCACCAAAATCCTTGGTGAGCACCTACTAAAGCTCTCACTTCTCCTACAGCTACATGATTGGGAAGGAAGAGATCTGCTTGGCTTCAGGAGGGAGGAGAACGTTGTTTGCTCTCTATGTTTAACTTATACTATCATACTGACTGGAGGCTTTTTTTTTTGTTTTTTCTGTTTTTTTATAAATAAATCTTAGGATGTTGAAATGTAGAGACATTTTTGCCTTTCCCAAATATAAATATTTTCTGTTCTTGAATGCTGCGTGTTGCTTGTGTAAGAAACTCCAAAAGTTTCAGATGTAGTTGGCATCCCCCCTGAGGTCTCTTGTGAGAGCTTTTTTCTGTGTTGTGATACATAGCAGTAAGAAGTTGTGTCTTATGCAAAGCGGCATTCCTGATACTTAGCCACTGAGGTAACAGAAGTATTTTTACTTTTTTTTCCCTTCTTCATTTGGCCCAATTCTGTTCTGTTCCTGCGTTGTCCACCTGTTTATCAGAGCTCATTTCTGTATGAGTGTGATTTGGATGATTCACAATCCACCATCTCCCAAACAATTACTGTAGGTATTGACAAGTGTTTGACAATGGCAGCAGTAAACTGTCTTCAAAGTTGAGAATTATGAAATTAAACTATAGGCTAAGCTCCACAAAGGTTTATATCAAGGTCTTCACAGAGAATTTCAGCAGCCAGCTTTATGTTTTCCTTGCCTCCAATTTCAGAGTCCACTTTCAGCTGGAACAGTGTGTGGGTTTGAATAGTACTGAAATGGGTACAGAAATGCTTTGAAGTAATGAAAAGCTATTATTTATCCTCGCTCCATGATATCAGTATAAGAATTAATAAAGACAAAATAACAGTAGAGGTATGAAGTCATTAAAAAATAAGCCTTTATAAAATCACCTAACCACTGCAAGCAGATATGTAGTTATAAAGTCAAAGGGCCCTTTGTTTATTTGGTTGATCAGTCCATTCAGGCCAGTTCTCCCTTTGACATTGAAGCACAAACGCTGTTTTACTATTACAAATCAGCTGAGAACCATGAAATATTAAAAAAGCACAGCAGGACAGGAATGTCCCACAGTGCCCATTAAAACTGCAGGGGAAAACCTACCCTCCCTCCCAAAAACAAACAGCTCCAAATCATTATTTATTTTGTTGATCAGTCATTCATTTCATTTGGTTGATCAGTCTGTTTAGGCCAGTTCTCCCTTTGACATTGAAGCACAAATGCTGTTTTATTATTACAAATCAGCTGAGAACCGTGAAATATTAAAAAAACTCGGCAGGACATGAATGTCCCACAGTGCCCACTAAAACTTCAGGGGAAAACCTACCCTCCTTCCCAAAAACAAGCAGCTCAAAATCCATCTTATCATCTGCATAGTTTCTCATTTAATTTGGATATATTATACCTTGACACAAGCTTTATAGAATGCTTTCTCACATGAGTATTTCATATGTGAAGGGAAATTTATCCCACCAAGATGCCTCAGTATGAATAGGGGAGCAATTCCTACACTTCTTATTAAGCTGGAATAAGATAAGATAACATAAGATGCCAAAAAATGCACAACTACTGAAATCAGTGGTGTCTGTATGAGTTGAATCTACTCGTAATTGCTAGAGGCACGTGTGTGTGTGTGTTCATGTGATACACGTGGGTGTGTGTGTATTCCTGCAGCTCCATCTGTATCCTGGTTTGTTCTCTTGCTTCCCATCCAACAGGAGGGAAACCAGTTTAGTCCACCACAAATTGCTCCTTCTGGCTTCACCTCTATCTGCTGTATTTTGAAGGGAATATGAGGAAATAATTAATGTTTATAAGACAATCTGAGAACCACAGATCCAGATTTGAGAACAGAATACTTAATTTTTTACAGGTGTAATGGAAGTCTTGGTTTTGTTTTAATATGAGATCAGTTGCAGAAATGACACGGACATCTGTGACACTTTTCACCAAGTGGAGTTACCAGGGCAGAATGAGCCTAATGTCTTATTTCTTTTTTCTCCTGCTCTCCTCCCTGCACCCCTGTCTGTATACACAGGAGCTAACGCATCTGCTCCCGACCAGCTGAGCCTGGCACTAGCCTGGAACAGAGTAGACATCGCCCGCAGTCAGATCTTTATTTATGGGCAACAGTGGCCGGTACAGTATATGTATATATACACAACGTCTTCTATTGGAAACACTTTGAACCCTACAGAGTATTAAATCCATTCTACTTGTGTAATTGTGGTTTTAGTGTGGTTTAAATTACACTGGGTAGTGCTAAACACACGGTTCCCAATCGCAGCTGCTGAGGGCAAGCACAGTTGCAGAGGTTCATGTGTTCTGTTGTCCAAGGAAATGGTGACATCTAGCGATGCCTTAAGAGTAGCAAAGCGTACATCTGAAAAAACGGGAAGTACCAGATTTATGCTACCAAGCACGATTCTGCAAGCTGAGGAAAACAAGTGTACAGCCATATTTTAGTGCCAGGCTTTAAATTCAAGGAGAGTCAAAACTTATTTTTTCACTTCAAGCAGTATGCTTTTATATGCAAATGCTGAATTTAAGGTGATGCTTTGACATAAAAAAAATACATCATACAAATGCTGGAGATCATGTAGACTGCCAGAGCTGATCAGCAGTATCACCTTGGATGGGCTGTGGCTCCAGACCTCAGGTGGTGTTAATTCTGTGCCCACTGCAGCTCTGCCTTGATCTGTCTGCTTTACATCTGCACCATCCTGTGCTCCAGTTGCTCCCGGGCTAATGCCATTTCCAGGGAGCACCAGGGGCATGGATTCTCTTCAGGAGTGGTAGGGCTGTAAATAAAGGGATTATTGAACACTGTGTCAGGCAGAGGAGGAAGAGTCAGCTTCCGGATTGTGCTGAAGCTTTTATAGGGGCAGAAGTCATGCAGAAAAAACAAAAAGAAGCATATCCCTACTTGTGTATGTCCCTAAAGCCAAACCTATTCACTCAGAAGTTTCAACTGGACCACAACAGTCACTCCTGTGACAGTTGTTTCATCACTGTCATTAAAATTTCATATGCTATCATTACATGAGCATTTACAATTCCCCATGGAAAAATTATAACAATGGGAAAAGCTTCTGTTTAAGTATCCTTGCTTTCAATTTAACTTTCTGCAGCTTGCTACCACTTGAAGCTAGTACAAAAATCCTCACCTTTTCAGCCATGGAGTGAACAGGACTATTTACTTTGTCTTTGATATTGGGCATAAGTATGTGTCAAAACAGAAGGGATTTTAATGGCACTGAACTGTCCTCATTGTTATCCCCTCATCATAGCAAATATTTGCATAAATTCTGCAAACTGCAGTCATTTTAGAAGCTAAAAGCTGGAAGAAATTATATCATCCTTCTAACTCTGCCTGACCTACAAGAGATAATAAGAAGGAGAAGTTTTGTGTAAGAAGACCTCTTGCATATAAGCCTTCAAAGAAATGCAAATTATGAAGCTATTTCTGTTTCCTGGCTGTTCAAATTTCCCTGAGGTTCCACACCACAAACAGAAGGAAACTCGAGAAAAGACAGAATTAAAGTGATTTTGTGTGCGCATAACAAATATATCCAATACAAATAAAATGTTTGACAGGAAAATAAATAATTATAATAATGATATGGTGAATAAGGTAGAGACATGATCAGCAGTTTACTGGGTTCCATTTCCTTTGTCCTGATCTGTTTTTCCTCTGATATTAATTTTTGAAATGCAGCCCTAAATCAGAAAAAATGTTACAGATTAAAGCTGTGATTATCTCAGTTCAAGCATAGAAGAGCAGCCCTTAGAATTTTGTCAGGGCTCCCTGCTTGTGCTAGAGTGACTGAACCAGCTGGATGCAGCCTGCCATGCCCAGGAACAGCTTCAATTAATCATTTGCTTTGCAGGTGGGCTCCCTTGAGCAAGCAATGCTGGATGCACTGGTGTTGGACAGAGTGGATTTTGTGAAATTGCTCATAGAAAATGGAGTAAGCATGCATCGTTTTCTCACCATCTCCCGGCTAGAGGAATTGTACAATACGGTAGGGCCAGCCTAAGGCAAATTTTCTGTCTCTATATTCACTGTTCTAGCTCCCACTTGTATTGTGATGACATGATAATGATGCACCAGGCAGTCAACACCTGCTGCAGAAATTTTTCATTAGTCCATATTGTCTCTCTTGCTTGTCTCTCATGCTGTGCCTTGCCCACATAAACTGCTGTATGGATTTTGTAAGACATAAAATAAGCCTCACACAGTGCCAGCTAATTTCTTGTCATTGTAATTCCAGTACAACAAACCTAAGATTCAGGCAGGTGGCACTCGCTGGAAAACAGTAACTGACAAGTTGGGACCCATACAGTGGTGTTATATGACTCCTGACAATGTGGTTTCAGAAAAATCTTCCAACTCTTAATCAGTCTCTGTTACAGTGAAGGACTTCCCTATGCCCCCATGGAGTTCCAAAAATTAGACCTTTGACTTTTAAAAACCTGTTTGCAAGTTTTTAATCCTTGCCAGTCCTTTGTTTTAATCCTCACACAGGTCTGCTTCTGAATTCTCAAATGCAAAACACATTCCAGCATTCACAGTATTATACCTATTTAGGTAGTAGTCCAGAAAGTTCAAACTTCTTATGAAAAAGAAGTTCTCACTTCTTGTGAAAAAAATCCTGAAGTCCTGTCTAGTTCTTAGCATTCCCAGCTTTGTGTGTTGCAGAAGGGCTGTGATATGGGCATATCTCTTTCCAAAAAGTTTTTCTGCTGCCAGTACTTTTCAAAGCCTTTGCTGTCATAAGCTGCCACACTGGGCTGTTATCTGGAGGTGTTTCACAGTGATGGTGACCAAAAGTCAGTCTTGCAAAATATCAAATATGAAAAAGGTTCATTAAATTTGGGCAAAATATAGAGGAATAGGTATGTTATATATATAAATCTATATGCCACCCTAGAGACAAACTCCAGTCTGATCTTTGGTCAGTTTATGCTTTGCCTATTGGTTGGCATCTATGTATCAAGAACAGAATGCCTATGAGCTTTCTTGTAACATGGATGAGCCTTGTAGCTCTTGTACCAAAGCCAGTTTTTACAGGGAATAAGTTTGACAGAAGCCTTCAGTTCCACAGCTAAAAAATGGGCTTTTTGAACAAACTTATTGCTATAGAAGTCAACATACATTTTTTCACACACAAATTCCAAAGGATCCAGTCTCTAAAATGCCTAAACTATCAGTTATATTATATGACCAAATGCATCCATAGTAGCCTTAGCACCAAAAAAATCAGAAGGCCAGTGTGATAGATTGGCATTTAAGAAAACAAAGAGGAACACCTAAGGAAGTTAAAACCGCTGGAGGCTGATGGGAGTTTGTCTCCTAGCCAACAGCTGGCCATTTCTAAGAACTGACAGCAGTTTTGACCATTGAAAAGTGAAATCAACCTGTGAACACCACCTTAAGACCTAAGCCTGGGAATTTCTTTGTCTCTTTGTTTCCTGGCTGTGAAAGGTAACAGAGCTCCAGCTGGCCTCCCGTTCTCTGCCCCGGCCATGCGGCCCGGGCGGGGGCTGGGCTGGGCCTGCCGCAGCTCCCGGCCGGGAGATGGGGCCTGCGGGGCTTGCTCCGGGCTCTGGCCGGGCCAGGCCGGTCCCTGGCTCGGCTGCAGTTTTTTTGCTGTGACTGAATTCACCAGAGACTGCCGAGTAAAGAAAGAAAAAAAGCTCTTGACCTGCGGCGGGCTGAGACAGTGACCACACTCTCCAGAGCAGCCATGAAGAATCTTCCATCGCAGACAACTCCAGCTGCTGCTCCAGCAGAGGTCACAGAACCATCTACAAAGCCTGGGCAAGATTTTAACCTTTTCATTACCCAGATGAGACTTGCAGATTAATCCTTTATTTCTAGAGAGAGAAAAAGAGAGTAATCAACATGTAAAGAGACTTTATAAACTATTAGGGACGGTAAAGAAAAGAATTAAGCTTCAGAAGAGGTAGAGAATAAGGAGATGCTTTATAAACTGAAATATTTTTCTGTAAAGCTATGGAGATGGACAATAGTGTTCTGAAAAAACTCCTTTAATTCATGACAGAGTATATTGGGAAGAATAGAGTAGTTCAAAGTGTGGATTTTGAACAAAAAGTAAAGTTATTGGGATACAGTGAGGTGCTGGAACAGAGAGGGAGAAGTAATAGTTGAAGATTTGTAGCTTTGTAGAGGCAAAGAGAAAACTTCTGTTTCCAGGGAAGCTCACAGAAACAGATGAAGAGAACTTTTGCCTTTGAATAACTCATCTTTAAAAATTACATCCCTAGGCTCATGGCCCATACACACCTCAGAGTGATGTGAAATGGGAGGAGTGAATTCTGATGATAGGATTTCCGGGCAGCTGGCATCAGAAAAATAGAAAGCTATAACAGAAATAGCTTTCTTGTGAGAAACTCCATAGATTAGCAAAAAAAGACTTCTGTTTCTCTACAAAGGCTGATGAAAAGATTCAAGCAAGAATTTGGGACTGTTTAAACACCAAAGTTCTGAAGTTTTTTGTCTCTATGTTGTCATGTAAACAAGGGAATAGTTGAGTAGTGGGAGAAAAAAGGGTTTTCTGGAAGTTTTATTCTGGTGTTCTTATTCTTGTAGTTTTGTTAATAAATTTTCTTTATTCCTTTTAAGTTTTAAGCCTGTTTTGCTCTTGTTCTAATCCACATCTCACAGCAAGAAATAAGTAAGTTTTCTAGTAATTTTTTAGTTACTGCTTTAAAACCACAACAGCCAGTTAAAAAATGCCATATTTCAGCATGAGACCTAGGAGTGACCTGTGAAGCTACAAACCAGTGAATCTTATCTCTGCCATGCCAAATTTGTAAAAATAGAAGTGTAGAATTATAGACAAGGGAATCAATTTTATGTCAACAAAGAGTTTACCCATCTTCTGTAGGAAACTGTTAAGCCTCTGCAATCAGCATGTGGGAGAATAAGGATTTTGCATTTGGTCCCCCCCCCTTTTTTTTTTTTAAATTCTTTGACAGTATTTTAAAACTTCAAAGGTTATTAAAGAAACGTAGCTGCCATGGCTTAGAAGATTGGGGATGCTTTTGGTTTAAAAACTGCTTGAATGTTAGTAAACAGGGAGAAGGAATACATGGGTTTTTTTCACCACAAAAGGACATAATGACCAGGGTCATAGAAGACCCTGTCCTGGGACCACAGCTGTGTTCAGTTTGTTTATGTAAGATCTGAAAAATGGTACCTACAGAAGAGACAATTATAATTGTTAATAATAATAATAATTAAAAACTCTGAAGCAGCATATGAAGAGTCATAGGTAAGTCTCATCATGCTCAGAGATGGGATTACATAAAATTTAGTGTTGGGAAGTGCAGGGCAAATCATATATGGAAACATCTACTCTACATGTATAGTCATCTCATCCATCATCAGCTACCACCAAGAAGACCTCTCATAAAAGTCTCATAAAATATCAGCAACAGTCAAAAAACAAAGCAGAAAATAAAGTCAGATGTAGATGTAGTAGTAGTAGTAGTATCAAAATTGTGGGACTCCTCTGCAGAATGTTTTTTGTGATGACAGCTGGAGTCAAAAGAAGATTGGCCAAATTCACAGACTGTGCATTCTGCAATCACATACATATGCATTCACAAACAGTGGCTTTGAGATGAGACAGCCTCGATGCAATGCCAGGCTCAGAGTGTCTCTGAGACACCAGGGATGGAAGTGGAAGTCCTGAGTGCAGGAAGGTTGAGACTAAAGCAGCTGGATTTGCTTCCACTTGTTCCCAGAGGTTGTGCGTGTTGTGCTATGCTCCTGGTTTTTCTAAGCCAGGAGCCTAACCTGATACACAGGACTTCAGTTTTCATCCAATGTGGCTGTTCATAGGGTTTTCTTATGGAAGAGTTTTCTACAAAAGAGGAAAACAGGTGAAATAACGTTCTTGTTATTGTTTTGGGGTCTTTTTAATTGATAACACTGTACAATTGAAGTGCTCTCAGCTACCTGATTTCTAAACTACCAAGGTGACAAAGATATCTCAACATTTATAATTTGTGCAAACTATTTTGTTCTTCTTCATTTGTCCTTTGCAGAGACATGGACCATCCAACACTCTGCATCATCTAGTCAGGGACGTGAAAAAGGTAAGAGTCCAATAGACGGTAGGTTGAAAACAATGCTGTTGTTCTTTGGTAGCTAGATACAAACTCCATTTTGCATGAGCTTTCAGTCAGAGCCTTCTCCTTCCTGCCAGTACAGAATGTCTTGTTTGTGTGCTCCAAATATGAACTTTTTGCATACAAAGCACAATTAGCAAGTTATTTGGCTTGCTTTCTCTGTGGTTTTAGACACTTGAGTAATGGTGTGTCTGCTGCCATACTTGTAGGCTCTTAAATACTGTGTGGATTTATGCTGTTTCTTGTATTTTTCCATTCCTGCAACTGTTGTCAAAGCTACTTACTGTGTTGCTAGTTTACTTCCACGCCTGTAAAATAGCTGTTACCTTTGTGCTGGATCCTGGCTTGTTGAAATAGTTCCTCATTCCGTATTGTGTGGTACATTATAGACATCTTCCTCTGCAGAAATATAAAAAAGGAGTAGTGCAACTGTCACCTGACCCTTATAATGTTAATTTCAAGAATCTTGACTTACAAAAATCCATTAGAAGAGCTGGACAGAAATACTGAAAGGTATAGTGACAGGAGGGAGATACCAAAAATACCTTTACCAATGTGCTCAGGATTAAAAGAGTTACAGCAGCTGCAATGAATAAAAATACCTTATCCTTTAAATATATGGATCAAGTAAGGAGATTGAGTCTGCAATTGACCTCATCAGTTTGAATATTCTACCAAAGCATGTGCAGATTACAACTTTGCACATTATGTAAGTCAGACCTCAAGGATAGCATACTTGAGAAAGGATACTTCTGTACATGGGACTAGATAGAAAATTGAAAAAGGAGAGGACATTTTTTCTAAGAGCACAGATTTTAGTGGTTTCTTCTGTCAGTGACAGCTGAACAGAATTAAATTCACCTGAGGGAGGAGAGTAGTAATGTGTCATATAGCACCTTTTTATTAAGTAATTCTACAGAACAATCAATAGCACATTTAGGTAGGTTCTGGTGGTACTCTTTGGTTAGTGTGTTAAATGGCATCATCATTGTCCAATTATGTATAGTGTATAAAGTGACCATTGAAAAATGTGAAATGCCTACAAAAAGAAACTACACACAAATCCCCTTGGAATGAGCAGAGTGAAGCTAGAATCTGTTTAGAATGGATTCTGCTCTTGAAGCCCAAGTTTCCAGAATATTTTTTACTCAATATACAGTTATTTATGTGCCTATATGAATCTGAAAGAAGCGTAATCTGTCTTCTACTTTAAAGTATATACTTTTCCAAACACCTTCTCTCCCCCAGAATCACCTTTCCAAGTCCTTCTTCAAAGGCATAGCAAATTATATGTTGAGAAACTACATCATATTAATCTCTTTTTTATGAGCCCCTAATTCAATATGTATTTTTAAAGAAACTCTTGAAAGAAAAGGCATCAAAGTAGTCAAAGATGATCTGTACTCATGGCTGTATATGGACAGACGTTAAATAAACTTTCACTATATTTGATGACATTGTTACACGGTGAATCCTAGCTATTAGGTGATGGTTATCTCTCCATAAATTTATCTTTCTTCCTTCTGTTGATATCTAAAATCTTCAGTAATTCCAACTACATCAAATCAGTCTTACAAGCATAGGTGAGGGCTTTGAAAACTGACAGCCTGGTGTGGCTCTTTAGCACCTTCCTGAAAAAAACTGGACCTCTGGGTCTGCATTTCAAATTTTGTCAGTGAAGAGGAACTGCCAGGGTTCACAAGGAGAAGTGACAGCTCACCATAGCCCTGCCTACTGAGCAGATTCCTTACCAGTCAGCCAAGCCATAAATCAGTCAGCAGATCTGACAACAGTTTAAATGAAAACACCTCCTTGGATAAAACTTCTTAATGAGCACATCACCATTAGACAGTTAGATGTTTCATCATGCATGAAAGACAGCTCACACTGCTGATGCTAGTTTTTTGACTTCATGTATATTTTGATGCCAGACATCTAATCCCTCAGATTTAATTACAGCATCACAGAATATAAATATGAAAGTATGTAGTACACAACCTTGAGACAATATCTAATCTATATGAAATATACAGTGCATTTAAATGTACATCTCAGTTCTAAAACCTGTACTATTTTAAAAGGTGCATGCTAAAAAATTATTTGCATCTTGATCATTGTGATAGAAAATGGATGTTTAAAAATCAGAGGCAGTAATTTACTACTATATAGCTGTATAAATCAGTAGGAGGGTGTTGTGTTGTTTTGTGTTGTTTTGTGTTGTTTTGTGTTGTTTTGTGTTGTTTTGTGTTGTTTTGTGTTGTTTTGTGTTGTTTTGTTTTGTAAGACAATTTTGCCTGCTTAATAATGCAAATAATTAGAAAAACAGAAGTCACATTATCAGATTTCATTTGTGTCAGCCTATAAACACACACATGTGCACACAAGTATATGATACAAAAATGTATTTTCCTTTTGGATTTCCAAATACTGCTGTGAAGATTGATAGTCTAGGCAGCATATTGTAAAGGCCTGGAGACACAATCTTAAAGAATTTACAGTAATCAAAATGTGCATAACTTTTTCATGTATTAACAAGACAAATTATGTCATAATGACTGCCTTACATCACCTTTCAGACTTCTCAATTCCATAGCTACATAGCAGGGCCAGCCTGCCTGCATTTTTGGCCTCATGGCCATTTTGACATCTCCTGTCAAGGGTCCAGAATTTCACATTTAAGTTTAGCTTCCTTCCATAGACCACACACAGCAGTACACCCAGGCTAAGCAGAAAGCATCAGACAGTGACTGTGCTGGACACCCTGTCTGCAAATGGAGGTTGCCCTCTACCAATTTTTAAAAAAATAAAAATCTTTCCCTGCCTCAACTAGCTGATCAAGATCAGTAGAAATTAACAGATGGTTTTTTGGGTTTTTTTTTTTCATTTATCCAAAACATTGTAGAAAATTAACAGGTCTCAGTTCCACTTCCGGATTATTTACACTTCCAAAGCTGGGAATTTTTTTGATTGCTACTGTACATCTGCATTTCCAAAGAACAAGTTAGCAATACATAGGATTTTGATAGTGTTTTCCTCAGCACACAAACTCAGAGGCTTGATACGTGGTGACGCAAAAATGCACTTGAAGTGAAATAAGTACTACAACTGACCAGCTACAATTTAAACTTGAAATTTCTTCAGGAGAAGAACAGTGCATTAACACTGAAGAGTTTGTCCCAGCATTAAAAGATTTGCTGATTATTAACTGGGACAACTAGCTTACCACAAAATCAAACTTTCTTCTTGGTCATTCTTGACAACCTGGACTGCACTAGAATTAATTCATCCAAATTCTTGCTCTTCTTGGGGCAGTTCTGTCCCTCCTGCACCACTTCATTTACAAACTTAGCTCTGCCAGGGTGGTTCAAGCTGTCTGCTGACAGAGAAAATGCTTTGGCACGTGTTTAACTCCTCTCACAAGGATGGTCAAGATGGACCAGTTTTCTTTACTAGGGCGTCTCACTTTGGAAAATTTATGTTTATGAAAAGTGTATTTTTGCTGTGGGTTTTGGAAGTTTTCTTTAGTGAACTCTTTAAGTATTATCTGGGAGGTTTAGATGCATCATTTATTAAACTTCTTTTACTGAAATTTTTTTATCTAAATCTTTTATGAAAATTTAGAAATCAGAACTATATCAAGAAACTCACACATTATAACACATATAGCACCACGATGCCTGTTGCTCTTTCTTAACTGCTCAAACATTTTTTGCCACTTAGCAATATTAAAGCGTTCAGTTTGAGTGAAGACTTTAAGATAGATGGTGTCTGTTGAACTACAATCCTGCCTCAGCTGCAGCTCCCATTTCTGCTAATGCTTTCATCCTTATTCTACTAGAATTATCATTTTACACATCCTGGAGATAGAAGAACATTTTTGGAGGAAAAACCAAACAAACTAACCTAGCAGAATTTAAATTTTTAATTTAATTTTTATGTTTATTTTTAATTTCATTTTTACATGTTCTTTTTCTTTAAAATGTTCAGTATAAATGTTACCATGTCCAAATTATCTAAGCTAATACACATTCCTGCAAACCATAGTAATCCCCCCATCCATAAAATTAGACAATATTAGGAAGGAATATTAGGAAGGTTGCAAAAGGATATGCCAGAGGGCATAGCTTAAAAATGGTTGGCAGCTCAATTTTTTCCACTAAATTTGCTTGATTTTCTGTCCTTTTGAATGCCAGCCGATTGCTGGGCATGGTACACTGTGAGAACACAACTTCCCTCTCTCCCTCCTGAGACTTTCCATCATGCTGCTTGTAACATGGTAGCAGGGCTGGAAATAAGATCTTCATGGCTGAAGTAGAAAAGGAGGATCTTTGCATCCATTTTTTCTCTTCTGCAGAAGCAGTTGCCATCTGCTCTCCACTAATGTTTCTCTGCTCTAATCCAGTCATCTCCAGAGAAGACAGACAGATATCTCCAGACATGCAGATATTTCCAGCAAGGCATGATGGTCATAAAATTGCTCCATGTGAATTACTAACCTTCTCATGAACACATAAAAAGAGCTACAGGCTCACTGTAATCTGTGCTGTATATCATCATAGAACATTAGATTATTACAGTGCACTGAAAAATTCTGAAGTTAAGAGCTACAGTTTATGGTCTTTCTGCAATATTGACTATATGAGATAATTTCTTTTTTTTAGAGTAATATTCCTTTTTTTCAAGGCTACTATTCACAGTACACAGAAGGATAACTTCCACCTTTATTTTGTAGTCATATCTTTTTCACAGACATACAGAGCAGAGGGGGTTCTGTAAATCTGAAGGGTTTCTTAGTGAGATCTCTAGAGCCAGGTGATCTATTCACAATTTGCTGAATTATGCCTTTTTTTCTGGTAAGGAATGCTTACTGAAACACAAACTGTCATCCAGTCAACTCAGAAGCAATGAGTTAGAGAAGGACACAAACTTTCATTTGAGTTCATTCCCTTCCCATTAGTCCTTTCCTCCTGTAAAGGGATCAGAATTTACCTTGTGTAGTTCCACTGGGGGGAATAGAAGAGCAGGTGTGCCCACACTGGGGTTTTGTTTCTCCATTGCCAGAGATCCCCAAGAGACTTGACCAGCACATCTGTGAGTGCAGCCCAGCCTGCAATAATTCAGCACACAAGATGTCCCATTGGGCTTACTGCAACTGGAGAATAGAAATGCCCCATTAACTCAGAGCAAATTCTGAGTGCAGTGAGAGACAATCAGTTACTGAAATCTTTCTTCATTGTTTTGCAACCCAGAAATACTGCAGAACTCACAACCTCAGTGCTGCCATTTTCAGATTTGAAAGTGAAGAGAAGGAAGATGCTTGCAAGGGAGTTCCCATAAAAAGGACAATAAGATGTAGACATGTTTGTCATTTTTTTCTTTCAAGTTAAAAGGTATATGCTGAAGACATCATATACTTATACATGTACATGTAGATATACATATGCATATGTATATGCATATACATGTACATATCTGTTTAGATATAGATATATAAAAATATCTAACTGAGGGCAAGGAAGGAAAAGAAATAGAAGAAGTATGTAGGCATCTTTTCCAGGATCCTGCTAATTACCCTTGCCACAAACTCAGTTTATTTCTTGTGAGGCAATCTCTATGGCTCTGCTGGAAATTACATTACTAGATAATGTGTTTAAAGGGGCTTTTAGTAAAATATGTAAGGAACTCAGGTAGAGAATATGTAGAAAAATTGATAGACCTGTAGTTTTCTTCATAAACAAACCCCTAAATAAGTAGCCACATATATTTTGTTTATTACAGCTTTCATACATACAGATAACTTTCCTCATTCTTGGTGTGAAACTTAAGCAAGGGTGTGTATTCTTTGAACATAACTCTAAGACTGAATGCTGATAGGCTCTTCTTGCCCCTAGCAATTAGTAATAATGATAGCTCTTGTACTTGTAAGTCCTCTAGAGTTGTAACACCAATCTTACTTCCTGCCCTTCCCTTCCTGGAACATGGGAAGGAAACACTGCAGGATGGGGTGATGTCACTTCACCATGCCTTGACAGTTCAGATGAGGCAGTCCAGAGAGATGCCAGCAGAGATGTGAGATGCCAGGACGAGTAGTGGGTGAGAGCTGGTGCAGGAAAAGTGCCATCTTGCAGAACTAGAGTCCAGCAACTGTGCCTGACTTTTCAAGTGTATCGATCCTCATGCTTTTGTTTCTGCAGTGTTGTTGTTCCTTGTTTCCCCAGCTGAAGAATATGAGTACTGTGTACTGACGTTATCTTCTGTTACTTCCAACAAGTTCTTCACCTTCTTATTTAACTTATGTCTTCTTTCCAAGCG